CCGCACGTCAGCGTTTGCAGCTCTCGCCGCTCCGCAAGTCTCTCCTGCTTCGTCATCGCGACTGCCAAGTCGTAAATAGCTCGGTTATTGAAGATCGATATTGAAATATTATCAAGTTTTTATCTACGCATTTATCAATCCCAAAAACAACATTTAATATCCTTAATAGTTTTTTGTGAAAATGTGTCGTCTTTTGTGCGGTAAAACGAATTTGTTTTTCAATAATATGACGATAATGAAAAATATACGTAGCAGACTCTTCCTTTTGATGGATTCATTAGACCATCGATTTTTTGGTGTGAAGGACCCACAAAACATAGATTCTGGCGTGTTACCGTTGTAACGCGTGTCACCATGTGTTAGAGATTTTTGTATATTTTGAAAGTATTAATTGAGGAATGAGCACGTTATGTGGGGGAAAATCAGTAAAAAAAGAAGAAGAACGTTAAAGCGCCGACGTGGATGGCCGAAGTGGCTAAGAGCGTCAACCGACTCAGTGCATCGCTCCGAAAGATTCCGCCTTGGGCATGCTTGTTTGTCCCTTGTCTTTCATGTTTTGTTTTCCCCACTAAATTCAATGTATTTCTTTTTGTTCAACTTATGTTAATGTTTCAATTTTCTCCGCCTTGCTAGAGACCCACTGAGAATGGAAAAAGTGTTTCCCAAAAGATAACACTGGATAATAATTAATTCAATTATTAAAAATTTGGTGGACGATTATTTTCTTTATCATATTATGGATTACCTTAAGACATCTGCTACTACCATGGAATTTTTTCATGTATGTGTTGTCGCGGAGGGCCTCGCGTTCTTTTGAACCCAGATCAGAGGAGACCGCAAGTGTGATGGGTATCTAGTGTATGGTAGAATATGCGTACCATCGTATCGACGTTAAGGGTAACCGACTGCAGGTTGGAAAAAACCCTAGAAAAAAATCAGATGATCATTTACACGTTGCTGTCATTTTGTGAAATAGTTTGATTTTTTAACTTATAGTTACAGTTATTACATTGCGTTTTTATAGATTTTTTTCATATTTTGTACTATGTTTGTTTCACATTATAAATATAAATGTTCAATAAATACTTTTATTGGAAAAGATTTTCAAACTATAAACAAATCCTATCAAAATTACTTTATTTTAATCTATAATGAAATTATAACTGGTAACATAATGTAATTTTTCTAATATGAATGAAATTCATTAGATCATTTAGAGAATAAACTTAAATTAATTTTCTTCATTTTGACCTTTCTGGCGTATTCTGTTTCTCTTGAAGGTTCTTTTAAGAAAAGTGCAAAAGTTCTGGCTTCAAATCTAGTGTGCGGGCATTGCCTTTTATCTGTGATGGAATGTTGCGGTATTTCTTTCATACGCCTGAGGTTCTTGCCAATTTACTATAACAGTACTGAGGAATTTAAACACAAAAAAGTATAAACACTTAAGAAAGTGATTGAAGTGTCAAGAAAGCCTTTAAGAATAATATTTGTGTAACATAATGCGTGAGCAAGCAAACTGCTTTTTCAGATCGAAATTAATTTGAAATTCTAAAGCTTTTACACAAATTTTAAAGGGATATTTTCCTAAAACTCCATTTCTGAGCGAAATATGTTACTGAAACTCACCGATTAACTTGCCCCAAAATATCAACATATCAATCGTTTTATATATTCAATTAAATAACTGAATATATGAATAATATACAATTATATAATATTCAATATAATGTAATTGTTCAATCACAATTTAATAACATAATACTCAATTACAAATTTGCCCTCTTCATAAAGATTGTAGCATGAGGCTGTAATTGTACTCTAGTAATACCAAACAAAAAATCTAAAATTAAATTATTTAACCTCATGGTGTTTTGTCATAAAATTCATCAGTGCTCTCGCGCAACTTGCAAGAATAATTACATTGCAAAACAAGATAGTCCCGGCATTATTTCTAATCCGATTTTGTGATTCACACTAATGGGTGATTATGTGTGAGTGAATTTTGGAATATCAGCATCAACTGCAGGAAGCTGACTTGACGCATGTGTCATGATTCGAAAACAGCTGAGTGGCTCGATAACCTTCCTGGTTAGAAGAGAAAAGAGGCCTGGTCTTCAATGAATCATAACCTGTATTTGTGACAATTCTTCCGAGCGATGAATGGAATCAAAAAGTCTCGCAGTACGCAACAAAACTGTTAATTTACACACAAAGTGTATTATAGAAAGTAGATATGGTGTGCTGCGTTTGAAGACGTTTTATGAAGGTAGCTAAAATACTATGAATTTATAATTTTCAATTTTCTTTCTTTTACTGAACTTTTACAAATAATAAGAAAAACGTGCTATACTGAGTCTCTAATTTAAGTCTTGTATAGGTGGCGAGGAGATACACGTAGTTTTGTACAAAAATACGTAGCAAAAATCGTAAAAATGCTACTTTTGCTTTAAAGTATGCGAACTTGGACAAAGGGATCAAACTCTTCGTAGTTCCCTTACCCCTTAAAATTAATTTAATATTATTAATATTTGTTGAAGATTACTGATGTTGTAAACATATAATATATTATTCTATGTATATCCATGCTAATATACCTGAAGCCTTTTTAGAATTATATTTTGAATATTTAGCTAAAATAACTGCAAACTTGCTGAAACATTTCGATAGTCTACATGCTCGAGCCGGACCCATAATCTTGAATATATAATCGTCCTGGAAAGTGACCTGCTGTGCAAAATTACCTGAAGTAACCGGCTCTGCCACCCACAACAGGGCCATGGACCACGCAGGCATTTCCTCGAAGGCCGGGTTTCCGACGCATTCACCCCCTCTCTCTCCTCCACTGACGTAGCGCTGCCACTGCTGACGTCGTTCTTTACAAAGAGGATTCGAGGGAACACGGTTGAACCACTGTGCCTCTAAAGAGACGGATTTCCTTATGCGGACGCTACATCGGTTGTACATGTGTTGAAAAATAGAACGTCCGTGAAACTGATTTTCGTTTAACTTGAAATCTATATCTCGTGTAACAGGCCCCTTAATAATATTTAGTTAAACCATACCATTTGCATGTGACAAATGCGACGAAGCGACAATGTAAACTGCTCTGGCAGTTTTGGAGAGATTTTTTTACAACAAACATTGCATTTTCAGACTCATCTTGAAAAAAGAAGACGTAGTATTTCCCGTTTGTAACAACTACAGTATAAATATTCTCATTTATAGTACTAAGTATTATTATGATACGAATATAAATAAAAATAATTTTTGGAAAACTATAAATTAAATAAAGACATATTTATCTCGAAAATTTAAGAAACTGTCAAGCATGTATGAAACAGATGTTGAAAGTTTGAGTCAGGTTTTTAGACGTAGAAAAAACAACAGATTGTGAAAAAAAAATTTAAGAAATGTCTTCAGCATAAATTAACTTCAAGATTTCGTCGCATCTAGATCATTTCCATTTAAATGTTCTTTTTCAGTCCCTAAGGTTTTAAATATTTTTTATAAAGTAAAGAGGAGGAAGGAATACGATGTTTGTATGAATTGTAGACTTTTAACCGCTTACTTAGCATACTTTGATATATAGTAAATAGAAAAATAAGTAATTATTTTATAAAGTGTTACGTTTGACGTGTTCCATCCACCACCTGGAAATACATGAATTTAAATATCATGGACAGAAAATATGGCACTCGCACAGGTATGGGTCAGCTTTCTCATTTGAATTTACTATATTCTTAAAAAGGAATATCCATAATTTTTTCTTATGATTTTTAAGTTATGTTCATAGTAACAGTAAGGATCTAGACAAAGTGTTCCCCGCAATATCACTTCATATTAAGTCATATAGCGTTATCCACTGCACTGCACAAATGGTCGTGATGAAAACTGTGGGAAACGTGTTGTAATAATCTAAGGCAGCAGTCAGTGGTAACGGTTTGTAACAGATATTTGCATACATTTTTTAACACATTTAATCTCTAAAATCCTAATAATAAATTTAATAATATCTAGAGAAAATTAGCAAGGAAACAGTTCAACAAATGGAATATTCTGACTGTTTTAAATTTTGGAAACATGTTGTTGTGATGGTTGAACACACAAAATGAACATTTATGTGTTAATAACCCGTGTTTACAATAGTAATTAAGAAGCAATTTTCATTCCTACGTTTACGATCCTAAAATATTTCCCTAAGTTTGTGTAATATCCACTTCATAAATTTACATAAAATTAAAGGATACAGAACAAGATCGCTTCTCTGGTATTTTTGATCAGTATGCGAATAATATGGATTCCAAAACATTTATTCGTCAATCTTCTATTCCTTCAAAACGGGCAAATACTCCCCAATTTTTAATAGTGGAATTTCGTCACTCTAGAATTGATAACTGTACAAAAGATGTCTTCTTTCAATGTTATTCAGTAATTTTTAAAAACAATTCTGATCAATATTCTGAACAGATTCATTGAAAAAATAAAATGTTGTTTTCGATATCAAATTGAGACAGAGAATTTCTTGATAATATGGAATATTGTTAAATGCAATTGTATCCAAACGTCATGTATTATAGTAAACTCAAATTGGTGTTCTGGAGATTTTAAAAATTATTTTTGTGCACTACGGCCAAAAAGGAATTTGAGACCCACATCTTTTAGAAAAGTTGCAGAGATATTTCAATTTCTATTCAAAACGTTCTACATTCCAACTTGTCTAAGAAATACGTCGAATGTACTATAATCATAATTAAATCCGAGCAAATATACCGTACTTTGTAAATAATTGTTTAAAATTGATAAGGGTTTCCTTTTGGAAATTTGGAAAATTACGGAAGCAATTATGTTTGGAAGTAGTATTCGTTTCTATTTCAAAGCAAATATGACGTTAATTTGCATCGTAACAGTACGCACCTTCGCGAACCACGTGGAACGGCCGCAGCAGTGTTACCCTGGTGGTGATTTGAACGCGCGAATAAGCGACGAACCCTGAGTGCAGGGCGCGGGGCGCAGGGGGGCGTGGACATTCCTTGGCCGGTGGGAACGCGCGGCCGCCGCCGCCGCCGCCGCCGGCAGGAGGAGGGGGCCGTCGTATAAGACGCGCGCTCGGCGCGCGGGGCCCGCAGTCTTCTTCCCCGTTCTTCACCTGCGCGCGGGCCATGGCGTCTCCGCGCGGGCTGCTCCTGCTGGTGGCAGCGCTGGTGGCGCTGGGTGCGCGGCCGTCCACGCAGGACCTCGTGGTGAGCAGCACGACGCCGCCGCCGCCGCCTCCGCCTTCCACGACGTCGACGACGGTGAGTCAACGCGGAGCGCGCCGCCCGCCCGTACCCTCGCTGCACTGCGCAGCGCCCGGCCGTCTGCCCGCGACCTTGAATTGCGTTCCCACGCCCTCGGTCCTGGCCGCTGCCGCAGCCACTGCCGCAGCAGCCGCCGTCGCCGCCGCCGCCGCCTTCGTCGTCGTCGTCGTCGTCGCTACGTTCGACCGGTTCGCCGTCTCTCGCCCGGAATTCCCAGCCGTATCGCCCGCCCGTCCGACCGCCCCTTCGACGCCTGACGCCAACCCGGTGGCTGCGTGTCGCCGCGACCGCCAGGAGACCCGATGGCTAGCTACGATACGCTCCCCAGTTGGTTCTCTCTGTACGCGGGATGAGTTGTGCGGGAAAGTGTTGTGTCGCGTGAAATTGTAACACGTAAGTCAGCGAAAGCAATGCTACGTATGTGAAAATATGAAACGAGGAAGAGGCTCATAGTGTTGACTCGTAACACTTCGGTTTCGATGACAGGTCGCCTAACAGTTTGCTGGTCTTGTTTAAACTAATTTAAAAATTTAATAAACTATAAAAGTTATGTTGGAGTTACAAGAAATTATCATCCTAGCACCTGGAGAAAAACATTATTTGAAGGCTAAAAATAAATAAAATTTATAACTACTAGTTTCAAGACTAGGTGTAACTACTCTATTTAATCTTCTAGAGCGTTTGGAATTTCATGATTCACGAAGGAAATTTTCTAATTATAAACACACCCTTATAATAGTATCGTTATTACAGGCCTTTTTTCTCTTGCATGATTTCTAATCACACGCTGCCGCTTTGTCGGCAGGTTTTATTAGCGTACCGCCACACAAATATTAACACTCTTCTCACGACGCTTCTTCAAATTACTTGTGTGCTCTTGAGACAGGTGTTCAGCTACAAAATAGGTGTGAATAGACACCTTAGATTCAAACACACCTGTGAACTTAATAATTAACATAAAATTTTCAACAGTTTTTTATTTGTACTTTAAATTTCTCGCTGTTGTATTTTCAGTGCATTGCACATTTTATGTTCATCAAATCATGCTTAATTTGTTCCTGTATGTTTCGGACAGTATATCTGACGTTCCTTTTACTTGCAGTATACAATCAAATAGAATGTGGTACAAAATTAACGATTTCATTTATAATAATAATTCAGTATTTTAATTATTACCTCTCGTAACTCTGAAGAATTGATATTTAATTGCTTATTGGTAAAACTCTCCATTAAAATATGTAGTAGACGAGAACCGGTTCGTACTTCTCTGCAAAAACGTTCTAGGAACCACAGAGTCGAGCAGATAGTTGCTCCCTAATTGATATGACTTCACCGATTACTCGCCAAAGGAAAGGTCATCGCAGTCTGGAAGATCGCTCTGGTCGACGCGTGGGAAAGAGTTTCGTGATAACGTAAAAAATGAATCCTTAAACAAAATCAAATTCACGATGCCGACATTCTACTAAACTGCGAGCAAACTCCAGTGTGTTTGATGTTGCTTCGGCAAATATGTTGATACGCATTTCCTACTCCATGAAAACGTAGGTGTGATTTACGTAACGAGTTTGGGCCGTTCTGGGCCAGGAACTCGGGGGATCTGGGAACCGGTACTCGTGGCGAAATTTCCCGCGGCGCTCGCCGCCTGCCTCTCGGACGCAGCCTGCGCCGCGCCGCCACCGACAGCCGTGGGAAAGTGAGTGTTCGCGGGGTGGGAACTCGCTGGGCGATCGGAGCGACGCCGGGTGCTCCCCGCAGGTCTCCTTTTCCGAAACGACCTCATTACGGAGGAACGTGGAAGCCACACCCGTCGGCGCGCAGTCGTCGGCGGAGCGGGCAAGAACGCGCGCGGTTGGAGGTGGCTGCGAGGGAGAGATACAGCACGCAACTTAAGGCGGAGTTCGGAAAATAGAAGCAGTAATAGGAATTTTGAGAGCTCTTGTTGAATGGTAGGCGAACGAAGAACAAACGGTATCATTGAATTCCAGGAGATAATACAGCCTGTAATGTTATTGTAACCGCACATGCATGACGTTCATTAATAATATTATTTCTATTTATTACATTAATTTAACAGAGTTTATTTAAGAATATTGAGCGTGATTACAATAACCAATTCATAACACACAAACATTTATATTTTGAAGGTCCCCTATGTAACATATATTTACATAATATTTCATACAAATTTCGAATAGAAAATAATAGAAAAGTTGAAATAACTTTCATAAAGTTTCTTTAAATATATATTGTTTCCAACACAATTATAATAGTTTTCTATGTATCAATTCACTAAAAAATGCTATTTATTTTATTTTAAACCGGATGGAAAAGTAACTTAACATGTTACACAAATTCGAAAAAAAAGTCTGTGATACAGCCCGCGCGTGTAAGTCAAAGAGACGGAGGAATATTTCACTGCGCGCTGGTCCATTGTGCAGGCAAAGCGCAGAAGCAAGGTAACATGACTCAGTGTGCATGCACCGCATGCCCATGTAGCAAACTGGAATCCCCCGCGGCCGTGAGATCAAATGAGGTAGGCCAACACTTGGCTTTATATAACGCGCGTCCCGCCGCGGTGGCCTTGAGCCGTCGTCTTCCGATGTCACGGCGGAGCGGAAAACTTCGTTACGTTCGGTCAGCGGTGGGCGCGGCCCGCGGTGGCCCATCGCCGGTGCAGTTGCTGGCTGGCGGCGCGGGGCGGCGCGGCGCGGGCGACCGCGGCTCCCACGGCCTTGGGGCAGCCCGGGCACCGGCCCAGGTGGGCTGGGCGGCCGCCAGGGCTTGGGCGCTGCCGCCGCGCGCCGCCGCCCCGCCGAGACGCCTGGGACCTGAAGCGCGTCTCCGGCTCGCACCAGCGCCGCGCCGCCCCGGCGTGCGCGCCATTCCCCGCGGGCCGCCGCCAACAAAGCGTCCGCCGCTCAACGCCCCAGGCCGCCGCGCTCCAAACACTTCCTGCTCAAGGGCTCTCCTCAGGCGGTCGCCCGGAAACCAGCGTGCTTTTGGCCGCTCTCTGCTTTTATCCGTCATTTTTTTTCGTTTGCGCCCCCAGCTTTCCCAGTCCATTAACAGCGATTAGATGCCAATTTACATTAACCTTTGTCAATCACTTGTTTTGAAACTTACAAATACATGATACAGGAATTGCTATCATACAATAACGGTAATTGCAATATTTGCATATTACATTAGTCCAAAACTTGAGTCAAATTTATTTATTATGACAACGAACCCTCTAAAAGCTTGGAAACCAAACCTGATTGCTAACCAGGTACTGCTGCATTGGTAATTAGTGTGATAATTATCTTGTAACAGTTCTCAGGTTTAGTGGGTGTTTGCGGAGAATAACATCGTTAACTGTTAGTAAAAAGAATAGGATCTATTTAAAACATGTTCACACGCGGCTAAAATTTCATTTTTTTAAATTCTTCTCCAAACTTACTTCCCATACCTCAGCGTCAATCATACGTAGTAAATAAATGAAATATTTCATCCATAGACGTACATTTTACACTTATCAACCTAGTTTGATGTTTCAAGATAATAACTTCTTCAACCATGATTTCACCAGAATGAATTAAGGTATTTAAAAATTGTTACTATATTATGTTAAAACTGTCGAGCATATAGTGTCGATTGGTAGCCGCTACATAAGGATGGAATCTTTAATTTTTATTATTTGTTATACAGGTTTCAATTACTTCGTTCGATTGTCGGAATTATTGTTTACTTGATGATCACAGGTGCATGTTTGGTCACTGCTTCGTACATCGACCCCTCCAAGTGTCTATAAACTCCTTGTTCTCCATCCATCTAAACTAAACTAGTATCTGTTGCCACCGTTTTACAACCGTCAAATAAGGAATGATAATATTAACATAAATATGCATTCATTAATTGGTATTATTTCTTACATAGGTTGCAATTACGTTGCTCGATTGTCGTAATTCTGTTTTAGCGAATGATCACAGGTTCGTGTTTAACCACTACTTCGTCCATCGACCCAAGCGTCTATCAACCCCTTGTTCTCCATCGATCTGTACTAAACTAATTTCTATTGCCACCGTGTTACAACCGTCAAACGATTGATAACCTTAACACAAATATGCATTCATTAATTGGATTATTTCTTACATAGGTTGCAATTACGTTGCTCGATTGTCGTAATTCACTTTTAGCGAATGATTACAGGTTCATGTTTAACCACTACTGCGTTCATCGACCCAAGCGTCTATCAACTTCTTGTTCTCCATCCATCTGTTTAACTAGTTAGATGGTTTAACTAATTAAACTAGTTTCTATTTCCACCGCGTTAGAACCGTTAAAAGATTGAAAACGTTAACATAAATATGCATTCATTAATTTGTATTATTTCTTACATAGTTTGGAATTACGATGTTAGATTGTCGGGATTCTCATCTAACAAATGATCGCAGGTGCATGTTCAGCCACTACTTCGTCTATCAACTCCTATTACTCCGTCTGCGTTAAACTATTCCTAGCGGTCGTCGCCACGGACACCGCGGTTTCTTCCATACAAATCCCACCGCGTTTCTCGTGCCGCGCCGCGCCGGGTTCTTTGCACTGTCACCTGCGCCTTGTCGGGCTCCTCGGCTTCCTCCATCATCCCGCCGCACCCGGATTGCCGCCGCCGCCGCCGCGGCGGTCGCAGTGCGCGCACAGGTTCCGGGTCCCACGAAACAGGTTCGCGAAGATGCGCCGGCCGGCCCGCCCATGACGTCACCACGCGTGACCGCCGGCGGCGGTGGCGCCGGCGACGACGATGCGGACGAGGAGAGAAAGCGCGCCAGCGCCCGCCCCGGCTTTCTTCGTCGCCGTGGCCGCGCTCCTCTCTTGCCCCCCTCCCCCCTGGCGCAAGGCCGCCGCGCGGTGCGTGTCGGTGCGGTACGCGCCGGCGTTCTGAAGCAACGCGAAAGGTCGGCGCCGAGCGCACGCGGCAGCGCCATAAACAATGGGACGTTGGTGCAGATAAGTCGGTG